CCGCCAGCTACCCGGGCAGCCCCGTCCCAGCCCACACCCGTTGCGTGCCGAGCGCCCAGGTTGGGGCGCGGTCGGGGATGCGACTGGGGGCGGGGGCAGCGCCGAGAGTTTCACCCGCCGCAGCCGCAGCGCGGAGGGCGGAGACCCGGCGGACGCGCGGCGGGGCTCCTGAGCGACCCCTAGACCACCAATCCTGCGTCCTAGCCTCCTGCGGTACCAGCGATGCTTACAGCTACCCAGCGTGGTGGAGCTTTGCTCCGTGTCAGGCTCAGGGCTGAGCGGGCTACATACTCGGCTGCAATTAAACCTCACCATGGACATGCTCACGATACGAATGAGGAAACAGGCCCCATCGAGGTCAGGTCGCTGCCCAAGGTCACACTGGTGGGACTCGGTGGGACATTTGAGCTCTGGCATGTCTGACTGGAAGACTGTGGGATGGCGCTGAGGTAGGAATGGGGAGGGCGAGAGAAGAGGCCAGGCAGGGTGGAGTGGGGGAGAGAGGCTCTGCCTAGACTGTGGTCACCTACCTGTCAACCCCACCTCAACCTCCTGAAGGAGCAGAGTCCACTCCCTTCCATCCCATCAAACAAACAAAAAATCTGCCTGTGATCTGAGAGGTGCTGAATTCCCTGTCTGAATCCTTGCGGGGCATAGACCATTAATGACCCCAGAAAAGAGCTCCCTCCTGTTACATTAGGATGGCACATAGGACACACCTCTCTAGTGGGTGTGGACCAGAAACTGGAAGGAACAAGCAGAAATGGGAGTGGGCTGTGGTGTGAGGGTGGTGGAGGAGCGATTTTACTTTCTCTTGTCAAAAATGTCTATGCATATTTTGTTGAAATTAACTTTGCAATGAAAAACTTAAAAAAAAAAAAAATCCTACTGTCCTTCGCAATCCAGCTCCAGATTTCCACGAGGCCTTTCCTGACCTGTGTGGAAAGGGTAGAGCAGATCACGATGCAGTCTAGGGTAGAGGAAGGGGCTGTGGTTCATGGGAATCTGCTGGAAGGCTGCACCCAGCCAGGTCTTGAGCCAAGCCCCAACTCAGTCCTGTCTCCCTTCCACTCTTGCAGTCTTGACTTGGCGGGAAGCCTCAAACTGGGATCTCTGGACCACTGTAGCTAACCATGTGAAGTGGGGTGGGAGCCCTGAGTGGTCTTCTTGCAGTGCTAGTGGTAGCGGCAGACCAGAACATTTCTCAGGAGGGAGTAGCCCTGGGGGACCCTGTCTGGTGGACTGACCACTGGCATCCTGCCCAGTGGCCCCTGGATGTGTGCTCCCCCCACCCCCATTCTCACTGGGCATGTCCACCCTGCTCACCACATCCCTGGGAGTGAGGGCTTTCAGGACTCCAGACCTGAGTTGTAAAATAGAAAAGAAGCAAACTTGTGCTCTGTATACAATGAGCTGTGTGGGTGTGGGTGTGAGTTAGCATTCACTGAAGCAGTGACCTGAAAACCCAGTCCAGGCAACACAGCTGGGAGAAAGCCTCCTGGGACGCAGACATGGGCTGGGCATAGGCAGGCGGCCCCAAAGTCCTCGAGGATTTGCAACTCCTGGCGCATCTACCCGTGCTCCGTGAAGACTGAAACTCACAGATAGCACCCTGAGACAAAACTGTCAAAGAAAGTCAGGAGGGACTAGAGAGGCTGAGAGAGGGTGCCGCTCCCTAGAGCAGCAGAGCCACTGTGACTTGGGCACCAATGGGGTCACCTTTATGGGAGCTGCCTGTGAGAGTGTGGGGAGCTGGATGAGTGGGCCCAGAGACTGGAATCAAATTTTGTTTAAACTGGCCCCCTAGAGTGACTTCAAAAAATATTTTTAATATACTTTATTGTTTGGAGCAGTTTTACATTTATAGAAAAAATGGGCATAAAGTAGAGAGTTCCCATATACCCACTCTCCCTCAATGTACAGTTTCCCTTATTATCAATATCTTGCATTAGTGTAGTAGTACATTTGCTACAACTGATGAATCAATATTGATACATTATTATTAACTAAAGTCTGTAGTTTACATTAGGATTCACTTTTCATGTTGTATAGTTCCCTGTACCTGTCACTGTACCAAAAAGAATTGGTCAACATTCAACCATTTTGGTAGCATATGATCAAGAACTGATGGTACGAAGGAAGAGGTCCAAGCTGCACTGAAGCCGCTGGCAAAAAACAAGGCTCTAGGAATTGATGGGATACCAACTGAGATGTTTCAACAAGCATATGCAACGCTGGAAGCACTCGTCTATGTCACGAAATTTGGAAGACAGTTACCTGGTCAACTGACTGGAAGAGATCCATATTTGTGCCAATTCCAAAGACAGCTACCCCACAGAATGCAGAAATTATTGAACAATATCATTAATATCACACACAAGTAAAATTTTGCTGGAGATAATTCAAAACCAGTTGCAGCAGTACATCGACAGGGAACTGCCAGAAATTCAAACTGGATGCAGAAAAGGACGTGGAACCAGGGATATCATTGCTGATGTCAGATGGATCTTGGCTGAAAGCAGAGGATACCAGAAAGGTGTTTATTTGTATTTTATTGACTATGAAAAGGCATTTGACTGTGTGGATCATAACAAACTATGGATAACGCTGTGAAGAATGGGAATTCCAGAACAATTAATTGTGCTCATTCAGCACCTGTTCATAGACGAAGAGGCAAGTTATTCGAACAAAACAAGGGGATTCAAAATGGTTTAAAATCAGAAAAGGTGTGCACCAGTTTTGTATCATTTCACCATGCTTATTTGATCTGTATGATGAGCAAATAATCTGAGAAGCTGGACTATATGAAGAAGAATGTGGTATCAAGACTGGAGGAAGCCTCATTAACAACTTGCGTTATGCAGATGACCCAACCTTGCTTGCTGAAAGTGAAGAGGATTTGAAGCACTTACTGGTGAAGATCAAAGACTACACCTTCAGTATATATTACACCTGAACATAAAACAAAAATCTTCACAACTGGACCAATAAGCAACATCATGATAAACAGAAAAAATATTGAAGTTGTCAAGGGTTTCATTTTACTTGGATCTGCAATCAATGCTCGTGGAAGCAACAGTCAAAAAATCAAACCACGCATTGCATTGGGCAAATCTGCTGCAAAAGAACTCTTTAAACTGTTAAAAAGCAAAGATGTCACTTTGAGGACTAAGGTGTACCTCACCCAAGCCATGGTATTTTCAATCATGTCATATGCATTTGAAAGCTGGACAATGAATAAGGAAGACTGAAGAAGAATTGATGCCTTTGAATTATGGCATTGGTGAAGAACATTGAATATACCATGGACTGCCAGAAGAATGAACAAATCTGTCTTGGAAGAAGTATAGCCTTAGAAGTGAAGATGCCTTTGGACATGTTATTAGGAGGGACTAATCCCTGGAGGAGGACATCATGCTTGGTGAAGTAGAAGGTCAGTGAAAAAGAGGAAGACACTCACGAAGATGTATTGACACAGTGGTTGCAACAATGGGCTCAAACCCAGGAATGATTGTGAGGATGGCACAGGACTGGGCAGTGTTTCATTCTGTTGTACATGGGGTTGCTAGGAGATGGAACCAATTAGACGGCACCTAACAACAACAGCATATTTCTATGGGTTTTAACACATGCATAGTATCATATATTCACCTTGACAGTAACTTGAAGAAGTTTCACAGCCCTAAAAATGCTCTATGCTCCACCTATTCATCCCTCTCCCACCTCCCAACCCCCAGCCCTTAACAGCCACTGATCTTTTTACTGTCTCTGTAGTTTTGTCTTTTTCAGAATGGCATATGTTTGGTGGAATGACTTTTTAAACATGTGATATGAACATGTCACTCCCCTGCTTGTCAATCTGCTGGTGGCTCCCCATCATTTATGGAATAAAGTCCAATCTCCTTAAGAGGCAGTATCACCTAGTGGTCAGTGGCATGGGATCTGGTGCCATAAGACCTCATTCAAACCCTGTCTCTACCTGTTACCTTTTGTGTGACCTTGGGCAAGTTATTGAACATTGGAAGATGACTCCCCATGGGTCTCGTGTGTTTCTGCACATCTCATGAGCAGAGGCACTGACAGCTCTTGTTAGGAGTATTTTCTCACACATGTTTGTTGGTGAACAGCCTTGGAAAATAAAATGTTTCCCACTGGAGCAGAAGGTAGTTTTGTTAGCTGACCAGTATAATAAAGATAATGCCTCCCTCTGGGGGCAAAGGTTGGATGGGTTGCTTGCAGTCCATTATAAGAGATCAGGTTTCCTAAGCTCATGGTTCCTTGGCTGTGATGTAAACCTACTGTGTGCACAGCATCCATATAGATTTGCCTACATTGTCCCATAGGGATGGGTGACCAGTGCAAACATGAAGTTCATTCTGCCATCTGCGCAGTGAGTAATAAAGTCCTTTGTCTCTGACCCAGGGATCTTGAGTCTTCTGCCAACAGCTAGGAAACCATGGTAGGCTAACTTGTTAGCTTGTGAGTAGGGTAAAATCTCAGACCTTCCACAGTTCTGTACACAACCTCTCTGTGCCTCAGTTTTCTGATCTATAAAAAGGGGGATAATGGTAGAATTATTACTGCTGTTGTGAGTGCTAAATGAGTTAGGATACATAAGGCAACATGGTATGTGGAAAGCCTCAATAAATGTTGGATCTTATTATGTAGGCTTCTCTCAGTTTGCAAGACTGCTGGTAATCTGGACCCTCCTCACTCCTCCAGCCTCGTCTCTCATCCCTCGCTGCCCAGAGAGGGTCAGTTCCAGCAATACCAAACTGTGTCTAACTCCCCAAGCACACCAGATATCCCTTCTCCCTGCCTTTCCTCATGATGCTGGCTACTTGCAGTGCCCCTCCTTCTCCTTCTTCCTCTATTGGTCTCTGTCCCGAGCATCCAGCAGGGGGCCCCACCCCGAGTGGCTTCTCCACAAATGTTTGCTGAGCTAAATCCTTTACTGTGACCCTCGTTGGTGCTGGAGGCAGAGGGGGGAGGCTAGGACAGGGAGGCCCTGCAGCTGTCTCTTCTGAGCTCTGGAAGAAAACCAAAAAAACCCCAACCCGTTGAGGTTGAGTGGATTCCAACTCATGGCTACCCCGTGTGTTATAGAGTAAAACTGAGCTCCATAGTGTTTGCTTGGCTGTAATCTTTATGGAACTAGATTGCCAGGCTTTTCTTCCTTGATGCCCCGGGGGTTTGAATTGCCAACCTTTCAGTTAGCACCTAAGTGCAAACCGTTTGCACCACCCAGGTTCTGAGAGACACCTCCCTTAATCCCAAGACAGAAGTCTTCAAGGGATGGTCAGAAAAGGATTCTTGGGGGAACTTCTTAAGCCAGTGGCAGTCCCCATGGTTTCTCATAAAGTCTCACTTTATGAGGTTTTCCATTTCCTCACTTTCATTCCATTCTGAGGATAAGG